GCCTCTGAGACAGCTTACCCTCCCGACTTGTGTGCAGCCGCGGCGCGCGAGATGTCGCTTGTTCTTCAGGCCAAGGGCATTTCTGCTGGGCACAAATCCACTGATCTTGCAATGTCGGCCACATACGCTCAGAAGCAACCTCGTCGCGGCCGCGGCACAGTTGGCCCTCCAGAGTTCAAATGCACTATGTCCCTGCGCGGATCTGTGGAGGATGCCTCTCCCGAGCTCATCCCAGATCACCCGCCGCCATGGCTGCAACAGGTGCCACCTGGGTCAAAGTTGCTGTGGACTCGCGTCTTTCTTGATGGGGGGAGTGAGGTGCGCGAGTCTGAATATGGGGTTTATCATAGCCCTCAAGAGTTCTTGCATGAGGCACTTAAGGTGACGCACCCCTTCGATAGTGCCGTGGCCATTCATGGGCCCAACCTCAGGGCCATCGCTTATGTTCTTGAACATGGTGTTAATAAGGGAGTTGAGCAGAAGCGCCGGGCGGTGCTTGAACATTACAAAGCCCTGGAACGTTCCCTTCACGACGAGGAGCAGCGGTTGAAGCAAGGGATGGATCCTACAGTTCGCCAGGTGATGGGGTCAAAGAAACTCCTCTTGTTCAGGCAAATGCTTATCGATGCGGGGGTCCCTGACGAGAACCTTTTCAATGATATGGTCAATGGGTTTCGCTTGACGGGTACCTTGGAACCTTCCGGGTTGTTTCCTCCCAAGTTTAAGCCTGCGGTGATTTCGGTTGCTGAGCTTAAGCGTTCCGCTGCATGGTCTAAGCATCTCATTGAGGGTGCGTGTCGCAAGGCGTCAAGGGATCCGGACGTCGCTCGAGCAGTGTGGAAGGAATCCTTAGAACAGGTGGGAAAGGGATGGCTTTCAGGGCCATTCACTTGGGATCAGATGGACGAGAAGTACGGTGGCGCTTGGGTTGCTTCAAAGCGTTTTGGCGTAACACAGGGGGACAAAGTTCGTGCAGTGGATGACCTGTCCCAGTTTCAGGTGAATGCATCGGTCACGGAGACGGAGAAGATCCAACTTGAGGGTCTGGACGACATTGTCGCTTTAGCTCGCTTCATGCTTGGTGCCAC